ACATTTTCACTCTATTAGCAGTATTAGTTTCTGTTGCAGAAGTAGCAGAAGGAATTCTGATAAAAAATTACAAAATTTCATAATGAAAATTTTGTGAGATCACTATTTACCTGAAAAATCACATTCCTTCGTCGCTCACTGTATTTTCTATGCATTATACAACAGAACAATGTGATTGTATGCTTGAATTAATGAATATCCCAGAACACAATTCGTATCCCAAAATATTGTGAAGAACTGTTTCAATCTTTTGATTCCTGGAAGAGTGGGGTTGTGTTTTATGTCTTACAGAAAAGTGAGGTTCTGTTTCAATGTTTTACCTCCAGGGTCGGTCATCGTGCACGCGACCTATTCACAGAACGCTACTTCACAAAAACTCAGATTTTCATTTCATGCGATCGTGCGGAATGCTACTTCAAACAGCTTCAAAATACTTTATGGTGGGAAGTGTATAAGCTGTTTTGATACGCATTTGCATTTCATGATGATAGCTTCAATGAAGACGCCGAGGAGAAAAAAAAGTGTTCAATAATTCACCATTAATATTGAAAATGATAATTCATCAAGATAAAGTCACAAATGAACAATGACCTTCTGCTCGTATTCTGTACACGGTCGTAGGAACTTTCAGCAAAGTATCGCCGGCAGATTTATTGTTCTAAACTCGCCTAATTTTGACGACCAACTTTAGGCCCGCCCCATTCCGGTCATGTAATAAAGGTCATCTGGTAATGTACTTTTCGAGCAATAAATCTTTATCCCGACTTGAATGCTACAAAGTTTCTTGGGGGAGTTGTTTCGCGTTTGTTGGTTGCTCGGGACGGCATTTGAATTGTAGTTTACGACTTCACTTCACATCCTCACCTCTTACAGGATCTTCAGCGCGGCCTGGCCAACTTTCGGAGTTCGTCTAGGCCTGGTTTCATTACCGAAAATTCCTTTTCTATTCGTGTATTTCGGAAAGAAATTGAGAAAGCAGGTTTGGTGCTATATCCCAGTTAACCACACATATCTCAGCTCTATCACAAGAGAGATCAATCAAAGAACTTTGGTTCATCACACGTTCTATCAACGTGATACAATTGAGGTACCTGAGGCGTCATGATGCCAATTATGGCATCTAAAATATATTTCGTGCTTATATTGTAGGTATCAATCGTGAGGATTTGAGTACGTGAAATTCAAAATTGTGGTTTAACAACCACGAGGACGTGCAATGTCATACGTTCTTTGATTTTTCCATGTATTGTGTTTACTAGGCTTTCCCAACCTCAGTTTCATCAGGTTTTTAAGGAGTTTGGTAACGAAAAATCTGACATCATGTCAATGTTGACAAGTGCGCTCATTGTTGTATGACAATATTAGTTATCATTATACAAGGTACAGAAATTTGTTTTGACTCTTTTTAGCTGAAATACATACAAATATAAGGAAATGTTGTTGAAAGCTATAGAGGAATACACTTGCAACGGCTTCTCATGTTGCATAGAATAGTCTACAGCAACTATACAATGAATTGGAATTTTCCAGACTAGTGAGATTTTTGAGTACTTTAACTTTTCCGCACTCAGTATCAATCAATCAAGTATATCTATGGAATGAAATGAATTTCTCATATGAGACCACATACCATGAAGTTTCAGTCCTAACTAATACCTGTATATCAGATTCGCGATACTTGAGTCGTTGCTCTCACCCACCTATTGTTGTAGCAGGCTCAGTTGTGCTTTATGAGACTCTAATACCCAAGAATCCAACGTAGGTTTCCGAGTTTTTTTCATAATTAACATATCCCAATAATTCCATTATCAAGCAACAGATGTAGAAATAACAAACTTTTTTCTGACTAACCAAATCGGATATGAATTGCTGAATCGTTATTATTATTATTCCGACTAATTTATGAGTAGAATAATATTTTCGTTACACATATAGCCTCAAATTCTCGGTGTGACGAAAAATTTGATTTTCATTGAAAAAACACTGAAAATACGTCAAACTGTCAACACTGAGCCAACAATAAATAAGTAATTACTGTCAGCCAGCGGATATTACTTTCGTGATTTACCATTGAAACATGCCAATAATACTGGGGTGAGATTGCTTGAATAGTGATGGTTGATGCATCAATATTTGCTGGGTGAAAGTAAACTCGATTCATAGACCATTCATAATAATAATAATAATAATAAAGCGGCTTTATTCATCATTATAATTTCTACATACAAAATAGAGAACAGTGAAATAAGAAGAACAAATGATGAAAAGGCGAAGTGTCAGCTATATAGCTGTTTTTCAACTTAACCATTTGAAAAGTCTTCTTGAGATATTTTGGAAAAATATTCGAATTGTTCATTCTGATCCAAAATACGGTGGCTATAGTTGGAGTGGAACACATTGTATATGAGATATTCGTCAGCAACTTATATGAAATTACTTATATAAAACACAAAATGAACGGAAATGAAGACCTTGGTCAGCTTCTGAACTCAAAGAAATTGTGGAACCCATTATTTCCTAACCTACCCAGTTCTCGTTTTTCGAAAATTTGTTTTCCAACTTTGAAGAAGCAAAAAATATGAGAAATACCATATATTGTTGGGAAGAAGTGGAGTGACATAAGCAGTTACAAGAATATGAAGCTTCGAAGTTGGACTGAATTAAGGGTTCTTGGATACCAGACAGAACATTAAAAGCCCGACTAACTCGACTCTAGCAAGTAATAATTTCCCGAATGTCTGAGAAGAGCAACGCGAAGCGATGAGGAAATAATAGCGATGAAATCGGATTCATTTACATAAGGACCCTAAATGCAAAATCTATTTCACCGTCTACGCCATTCGCAGTCATTTTTTTTTGTGTCGCCAAGAACATTAAGGGAGCTGTAAACCTCCTTTTGATTTGCGTACTGATGATATGCTATCCTATATGATTACTACGAAAGCTTAGAAAGGCCACTGTTGTCTGTATTTATTTATTCAGACTTTTTTCTCCGAATTGGAAGGTCGCTACAGGCATATTTCTGCAGGAACTTTGATTCCATGATATACAGGGTGCTTTTTCTGAAACACATTTTATAACTGTTAAACGGTGTTATGGAATTGACGAGCCATTTAATTCTGATATATCCTCAACTCACTTTTCATTCATTTCATAAACACTGCAATCGAAAAATGAAACCGCCTGGAACTATGGAAAAACTTTTCGATATTACATTCATTACATGCCCAATTGCTAAGATAAAATGACTATATATTATATCACCTCCTCATCAAACACTTTTTCAACGACTGTTGAATTCAAGTCCTGTGCATATATTATGATTCACCCTGTATACATGAACGAAACGTTCGTCATCAACACAAGAAGGAGGAAACGAGCATCACAAGTTTTTTTTTTTTCAGAAATATTGACCCTCAGAGACGTGCGTGTCTCTATTCCGGCAGCAGTCAAATCTCTGGATACAGTTGCTCTCCAGTGCGAGTATGACCTGGAAGGCGAGCCCCTCTATACCGTCAAGTGGTACAAGGGAGCCAAGGAATTCTACAGATACATCCCCAAGGAGTTACCGAACACACAGGTGTTTCCGTTACCGGGAGTTGTGGTTGATGTGAGTATACAGTGTGCCCAAGATAAGGAGGGTCAGTATCGGCATCCCGGAAACTACGAGAGATTTGGTTAAATGGGAGAAAAGTAGCGCGAGTAGAGAACCAACTGATCCAAAAATTCAGTTTCTTGGAAATAACTCGAGAACGAAACGTCATATCAGAGATGTCTGAAAGTCATTTTGTTGGTCATGCACTCGTGCAACTTTTCTCCCATCTAACCGAATCTGTATCTCTAGTAGTTTCCGAGGTGCCCATACTCTCCCTCCTTATATTGAGCACAGACAATATAACATTGTGAGGGATCGCTGAACTCCTCATATAGTTTTTCATCACCTCCAAGGGTATGATTTGATTAGAATGAGCGGAGCTACTCAGCAGGATATCGCTTTTGATGCTCAACATTACTCTGATTTCACATGGTAATAAAAGGAGGCCTGACATCAGCCCCACTTCAGTTTTGGTTGAATGTAGAAGCATTTCAGTCCTTCTTGATGTATATGCTGAATGCATTTTCGAAACATCTTCGACCATATAGATTTGTCCAGTATGATTCATTTCGTTTCTTTTGGAGATCCTATATTATGTGACACTTTGGTAAGCTGAACTACTATTTTTCTATTATTACATAACGGGTGTTTCTTAAAAGTGACTCACATCTTTAACTTTTTCGTTCTTGAAGATAATCAAATGAAATTCGGTGTGTTGGTATATATTATTTCTAAAAACGTAAATCGAACATGCAACATCAGTCCTTTCCAGATTTATTTGTCTCTACAAAGGTTCAGACTGATTTCAGTTGCATCAGGGAGTATTCACAGTTCCTGACTGATTAAGCACAGATAGCTTTTACAGTAGTCAGAGAAGAGTATCGAGCGTTGGTCTTCACATATATTTTGTCTGAAATTCTCGAGCACCGTTGTCTATCGTGATTTTGTTCCAGATAGGAAATAAATTCATATGGGCTTGCAAGTACTTACAGTTAGCTATACCTATTCCTGTTTATTATCTTGATTCATCTGTATTGTGTCAGAACTGCCACAATGCTTAGAAGATAGCATATAAGGAAACTAGCACAAATTCACAATGCATGTCAATTCAATTAATTTACTAACTGAATCTCATACCCGTTTGCTATTACAGTTGTATGAAATCATAGTTTCTTCTTCTGCATGAAGATTTTCTTGCATGATCAATGCAATCAACAGCTTGGTTAGTTGATGAGCATGTTATTGTTTGATTGGGCAATGTTTTCAACGAGCTAACTTGTGTTGCTGAATATCCATCGAATAGAAACCCAATGGAAGCAGAGTCACTTTCACTTGTTAAATATTAACCTCTGATATGAATATCTACCTAATAGGTAATGACAACTATTGAACGATAAAAGAGAGAATGTCGAAACTTTTCACCGAATCAGTCTACCTCATGACTTTCCGTGTTAATGAACTCTCCACAGACTATTATATCGATTCGTTTCAATTCCAGTTGAATAAGAGCACCTATAACCGAGTTGTCCTGAAAGATGTCCAACCAGAAGTGAGCGGAAGATACAAATGCGAGGTATCTTCAGACGCCCCTAACTTTTACACCTTCATGGTTTCTGGATACATGTTCGTTATTGGTGAGCTCAGTTTCGAAAGATTATCAAAAGAATTCCAGCAATGTATTTTCCAGATATCCCTGAAGGAGATCCAGTAGTGACAGTCGAGAAAGAACTCCTAGAAATAGGATCTATTATCAGAGGCAATTGTTCTTCACCTGCGTCTTACCCACCAGCAAACGTGACTTGGTTCTTGAATGGTAAAGAGGTGAGCATTGTTACTTTTTCTGATAAACTCCTCACAAAGCCCTTGTTAAGGTGAACACGGCTCATATTAGGAGATCCCAGCGGCCTTCTGTGTCTAGCAAGAGCGTAACCACCACTTCAAGCAATCGTCGATCTCCAACTATAACTGTTGCCAATATAGAAGTAGAGGTAGATGAAAATACATTTAGAGAAGGGAAAGCCAGACTGCGCTGTGCTGTTAACATACTCGATCTTTACAAAAAGAGCAGAGAGGTAGTTTTAGAAGAAGATGGACCGAGGCCAATGCTATCTTTGGTTTTGGGAACACCGGTAGTAGAATCAGGTGAGAACTTATTGCTCTTTAGACATTATATACCCGAACTACTTCTTGTCCCTATTTGATATTGGTATTCGGGTATGGCAATAGATGCAAGCAACCAATAGTTAATGCAAATTTATCTGATTTCAACTATTGTTTCAGGTTCACCAGATATCTTCAATTCCAACATTTTTCTTTTTTCGTGTATCATCGTGTTTTTACGGTAACAGACTAGTTCGAACTGGAAGAACTGGAAGTGAATTGACAATTGATCATGGCAGGGATGTTTTTAGTGAATTGAACTGTGACATTGTTAATAGTGGAAAATATCAGTGCGATCTATTGATTTTTTGATCACAGGTATTATAGAAAGTACTACGCTGAGCCTAGAGAATAAGTATATGCAACATTCGAATGCTCACGTTTAGATCGTGTGGATAGTTGGAATGCTTACCAAAGTGATGTGTCCAAATTCAGAACAAATTCATTCATCGTATGATTACGTTTTGTATCTCGAGTTGACAGCTATGATAATTATATTCAAGCACGACTGGGCGTAAAGTAGCTCTTTACCTTCCGGTTTTGCTGGCGTAGTGGCACTTTACCGCCCGCCGACTACTTTACCGTATAGGTAACTCGTAATTGGCATTCCTATACAATTCAGGACATTCATGTATCAGTTGTGATGGTTCCATATCTAATATTACAGATCTACTGATATTAGGCGGCTCGGTGGTCGAGAGCGTGAATGCGCTGAGTTCGTATGGGGACTCCAACCGAGACATAGGTTCGAATCCTAGTTAGGCCATGGATGTTTGTGTTTGTATACTCACCTAACCCTGCACAAGTTTCGACTTATGGGGTGTTTGGTCCCAGTGCTGTGATCAACGAGGTAATGTAATTGCAAAAAAAAAATTCTGAGATGTGGAATGATCGAACCCAAAATAAGTTATCTGTGATGACATTAATTGACAGCAAATATAATTGTCTACTACTGATTCTAAGAATTGTTTGAGTTGATTCCTCACTGCAGCCATAATGTAATCCTATCGTTTTAGAGAGGTGAAGAAGTATTTACGTACCGTGCATGTCATCGTGCATAAAATGTTGAATGTATTTCGGGGGTAACTTGATTTGATAAAAGCTTATTTTACGCTTTTTATACATGCATAACTATCAATATATTGAGCGAAACTTTACTTGAATTCGTCAATATTGATTCATAAAAATTCGAAATTCCCACACATGAACTTATTGTGAATGTGATATTGGTTTGAATGATCATTGAACAACAAACATTTGCTTTCCACCCAAGTCAAGGCTATATGTCATATCTACTGTTTTGACTGGAATACATGCAACAGTTTCTGGTAGAGTTCCTAAATGTACTTGACTACAAAAAACGTCAAAACAACAATGTCAAGTACAATTAGGAACTCTAGTTTTTGGTACAGAATCAAATTAGTAGCATCACCTAGTGTATCCCTGGGTCAGGAAGTATTTAGTTAAAACTAAGTCACTAGTCAGCATACATGGGATATCGAAGTATTTTTGTGAAGTACACGAGCTGAAACCACGCATGAAACTTGTATTGTTGAATGTTAAGACGCCATGATTTTTATACCAATGAGGAGTGTTGAAATGTTATATTTACGAATACGTCGTATATATCGTATATATGTACAGAATGATCAACACAAGCAAATCCATGATTTTTTTAAACTCTTTTCATTATTATGGTGTAACACAGATTTTTGAATACCTAGTCATTAAACATGTTGTCAGGTTATTTGTTTGGAAACATGAGTAAGAAATATGTAAGTAATTTCGCCAGTAATATCTAGCTAGTATTATTATCATCAGTTTATATATATATTGTTTTCAACGACTAATCTGTAATTCATGGAAATGCCATGCTGGATTATTTGTTCGAATTAACAATGGGATAAGTGAAAAAGAAGATTATAAATCATCAATCAATTGATTATAAATTAATTGTGACCATTTTGTATAAATATAATTTAGTAATGAGATGCTCAAGTAATACAACATTGAAATGATGATGTATAGTGATTTAGGAAGTAAATAAAGTGAGATAAGAGACATAAAAGAATTTTATTCATTTCAAAAAATGATAATTGCAACTTAACATCTCTATCTCGATGAGAACAAGTAGTTTTTATCTAATAGGGAATTACATTTGAACATCTTATCTTGCTTTTTGTCTAATGAAATACCCTGTGAATACTTGATTTGATTCATTTCTGAATGCACACATATCAAGTTTTATAAAATCCATGTTCAGGGTGTTCCTATCTGAAGAGTTGGGTAAAGCTGATTTCCGGTTTGACTAGAAAACTAAAAGTTGAATAATCAGCCTCTCTGGATATAAGGACGCTCGCCGGACATATAGCATTCAATGATTTTTTTCTTTGGGGTCATCCGAGATCCGTTATTTATAAAACGGAATTTACTATGATCTGGAGGATATGTGAAAATTAGGGTTGAATGCCAGGAAATAACTAGAGTAGTGGTTCCCGCGAGAGTCTCGTTTTCGAGAGTCTCGCATGGTCTCGTCTCGTTTTCGAGACAAGACTCGAGACGAGACTCGGACAAGACGAGACGAGACTTTCATTGGTCTCGTCTCGAGTCTCGTGCAAGACTTCTCGTGTCTCGTGCGAGAGTCTCGCAGGTAAATATTTCTGCGTGCCGAATGCAGACTTGAGAATTTCATTCGTAAAACAACATATTGAGAAAGAATTCAGACTATTTAGCACAGATAGACAACACATTTCATTCATAAATACTTTGAAAACACAATCCATGATTGTTGTGAAATGACGTAATGCGTGTAACGAAAACGGACTATTCTCTCTCTTACGGCGGCGGAATATAAAGGGAATTCTGCAATAACGACAGATCGCAAATTGAATGACTACCTGAAAATCTATAAATAAGTCATTCTGTGCTAAATAGTCTAAGAACAAGAATAACTTTATGTCTTAACGACTGGGTGAAAAACAAAAACATTTGCGATCGTGAAGGCTGATATGACTGATAAATGTTTTTTTCTCCAAGCGACAGGGATAGTGGCTTCTTACTGCCGCTTAACAGACAGAAAAGGTGTACTTTCACCACTACTGTGCTTTCACTGCCTAGGCAAAAAAAGTATGTTGCTATGCAACGTTCCAAGAAAGTCAAATGAAATTAGTAATCAAAATTGACACTGACATTGAATGAACACAAAATGATGGAGTTTTCAATAAAATATTACACAACATTCGTTTTATATCAATCGGAGAAAAAATTCAATGTTTCACACGGCAACAAATGTAAATTGACTGCCTTGGCTGAATTCCTAGCCTCGCTACGCTCGGCTATGAACTTTCAGCCGCGGCAGTCAATCTACTACTTTTCTGCCTAGTAAAACGAATAACTATTTTCTCCAAGCGGCAGGGATAGTGGCTTTTTCCTGCCGCTCAACAGGCAGAAAAGATGTACTTTTACTGCCTAGGCAGAAAAAGTTTGTTGCTATGCAACGTTCCAAGAAATTCTAGTGAAATTAGTAATCAAAATTGACACTGACATTGGGTGAACACATAATGATAAAGTTTTCAATAAGAAAATGACACAAAATTGGTTTTATATCATCTGGACAAAAAATGCTATGTTTCACACGGTAGTAAATGTAGATTGACTGCCTTGGCGGAATTCCGGCAGCGGCAGTCAATCCACTACTTTCCTGCCTAGTAAAACAAATAACTATTTTCTTAGATACCTATTTCTTAAATGAGTAAAATAATGTTGCATTGAAGTTTTTGTTTTGACTATACGTGTTACTTTTCATTTCATTTTTATATCTTCCGAATATAAATAATTCAATGTTTTTTTTTCTTGTTAGATGTATGATGTAAGTATGAACCTATCAGGTACTTACTTTTCAATGAATAATGTTATTTTTGTTGTAATTCTCTCTTCCTACTTCTACATTATACCTAAAAAGTACTAGACTGGAACAAGAGTATGCATGACGAAATTTCGATACATTTGCGAGACTCTCGTACGAGACGCGAGACAAGACGAGACTCCAGGCTGCGAGACGAGACTCGAGACAAGACTTCATATCTCATCGGCGAGACGAGACAAGACTTTATGAAAGTCTTGTCTCGTTGGTCTCGTGTGAATCACTAAACTAGAGAAACATGACAAATGTGCAAAAGGAATTTACAAATAGATTCTACCACAGTCTGCCAGTCAATGAAGGTGATTTTGAACAATTGTTGTGGATAACCATTCAATAAATCATTCCGTTCATTCAATTACCCGCAACTGGAAAACATACCATATGAACTCGAATATCTCGAGAACGACTTGTTGGAATTCGAAAAACTTTACACTGCTATTCTCAAAATTGAATTACCTTTGCAATGATGTATAACATGACCCTTATTCTCTATTCAAATTATTGAGGGGGTTGGTCTGAGGAGTAGAGGGTTGAAGTATGGATTATTTATTTTGCGTCAAAAGGTGTCCCCCTCCATGTAAAATTCGACCTGTTTCGTAATATTTTCGGAAAATAATAAATCTGGGAGATATCGAGCGTGGATAGTCTTAAATGGACAACCCGGTATATGAATTTCAATTTGTTACCCTAAAAATATTCTAGGCATTGTCATTCTAGATGACAACCTAGTTAGGTAGTTAATAGGCAGGAGATACCTCCTCGCACTAGGTCGCCTACTAGGTTTTCATTTAGATCGACAATGTTCTAGATATAATATGAGATCAGAATATTTTCGGAACAGATGGTAGACATAGTATACTACACATCAATATACTTAATACACGTAGTTGAATGTATGAGTACCTCACTGAAACTAATCAGTTAGTTCGTTATTTGCTGTGGAAAATCCGAGGGAAAATCGAACGTGCAGGTCTTCTGATGAGATCACAATCACAATGAACACATTTTGGTTAAAATTTTTCATGGACACCACGAAGGAACCATCCCCTTCATAATACTGGTGGGAGTTCCGGTATGTAGGTGTACCCAGTAATAATCAATCTATCCTCTTCCAAGGCTCTGACCGAGGTATCCAATGACACTCATACCTCGAATATTCCGTTATTGATTTCACTATATACGACCCATGGTTCTTCTATGAGGGCCAATTCAAATCACAGTAGCTTAGAGCACTATAGTATAAAAAAACGAGAATATATTATAGAATACAAAACGCTCAGATTAACATAATTTACTTCACGTCTGAGAAAATATTTTGGCCCAGCCCTGTGATGGCCTCTGCAAGGTTATTTACTCTGAGATGTCACCCTGTTTCCCAGAGGACCCGTAATCGACACCATAATATAACCTCGGTGGGTCGGTGCCATCCATTTCTCATATTGGGTTCCCACAACTTGGATAAGGCTGCCCGAGCATTG